TATACACATATATATGTGTGTGTGTATATATATATATATATATATATACACACACACACACATATGGGATATGGGAAAGATTATGGCGTTATATACGCGTCACCACCTGATCAGCTGGTATACGATGATGATATTGTCCACAGTGGTTGAAATGATATGATGGGATGCCCTCAGAGGCCTGATGATGTTTTGAAACATGTACCCGCACGACATGACATTCATACGTATATGCATGACACTATAATTATTTCCGACGCGTATAATAAAATTTTAATAGTAACAAATAATCAATCTTATGTTCATATTACTAATTTTACGTTTACGATTACCTTCACTTATCTTTAAGTAATCAATTTATTTAAATTTAAAAGAAAATTCAATTTAAGTTTGACTTCAGAAAAGAGTTTATTTAGCTGATGAGGTACGTTTTTACTTAATGTGGAAATCACCTTCTATAAGGGTGGGGTTGGTAAAAAAGTTTTAAATTTTGTCAAAGCATATGGTTATGTCGTTTTTCTTAATTAAATGGTGAAAGAAATAAAGAAACATAGCCATTAATGGTTGCTGAAATGTTGGACTATATACAATGTCATTATCTGAGTCATTTATTCTATATTTCTTTCATATCTGTTATGTACTTATCTATGTGCCTTAGATACTCAGTAAATTATTTGTACTGACGTCCTTTTGTTGGGAACGCTGCATTCATGCCTGCAAGTATAGATAATCAGTTTGACGAGCTTTGCTTCAGTGAAGAATTAGTAAGACTCCACCTCATTCGGAGTGCAGTCGTGTCTATAAGTCATCGTGTCAGAGTTTTGCTACAGACTTATGGGTAGGCTGGTACCTTGTCCCATTTTATATCAAATAATCTAAAGGCTTTATAGACAGAGGTTCATTTTGTACACTATGTCAGAGGCCTTGACGGCCCATATGTATTCATGTTTTAAGAACGATGGTTCATTAATATAACAGTTACCTACTTACAATTGTACATTACGAGTTGTGGCCATATTGGCTCATGATAGTTACAAAAGGAATTAATGAGTTACAGAGTGGTTCGCTCGGGCCAATGCGGCACCGGGTGTCAGTCATGCCTCCCAAGGTTGGGGCGTGACACCGCAATTGCAAGGGTTCGCAACTGCAAATACAGTGTCGCAATTGCGGCGTCTGCAACTGAAAAATATATAGAAAAGTTGGGATTTAGGTCTCATTTCTCATATTTTAGAACCCTAGGCTCTGTAGGAGACTATTTGGAGAGAGGATTTTCATGTACAGATATTGGGTGAGTGATTCTAATCAATTTTTAACTATATTTCATGATTATGTCTTAGATTTAATATCAAATTTATGTGAATCAAAGAGGAAAATTGGAAAATTTTGTCAAGTTTTTGAAAAATGAGAATTTGAATTTTGAGAGTCGAATTGGACCCGGATTTGAAAACTAATAACACATATAGACTCATGGGTTTATAGGTAGTTGGAATCTACTCTCGGAACCAGATTTTGACCGCGCAGGCCCCGAGTTGACTTTTGTTAACTTTTTAAAATTTTATAAAGATCAAAACTTTATCTTTTGTAATTGTTTTCCCTAACATTGTTTAATGATATTAAGTCATTTTTGGTTAGATTTGAGCCGTGTGGAGGAGAATTTTAGGGAAATGTTATTTTTGAGGGTTGAGTTGGCCAAGTTGAGGTAAGTATCTTGCCTAACTTTGTGTTGAGGAACCACCTCTTAGGATTTGTGATCTATTGTGCTATTTGTGTTATGTGAAAGTTGTGTACGCAAGGTAAAGAGTGAGTACACGGGTTATATATGGTATTTTGACCGGTTTAGGTTATTTAGATTCTTTCCATGCCTATAATTGAAATGTCATAACATGTTATATCTCTCATCGCTAATCAACTCTTACATGTGTTAATCTGCCCTTATATGCTTTATTTGACATTGTTAACACGTGTTCTACTTCTTACTTGTTATTTTGCTCTTATATGCTTAATTGAAGTTATTTCCTTCCTTATTGCCTTGTTACATCTTTAATTGTTGAATTATATTTATTTGATGTTATTATTTTGTGGAATATCTTCTTGTTTAGTTATTGGTGTTGAATTGTGAAAGTCGTTATTACATTGAGGTAAAGTTATTAATGGTTGAGATATCTTTCTTGTTGAGCAATTTACATTTATTTTGTTATTATTGAGATTCTTGTGCACATTATGGCTGATCCACAGGCTATTTGTTATGGAAATATTGATATTGTTGATTCCTTTGGCAAGTTATTGCATATGGGCACTTGTGGCGCGAGTTGTGATTATATTGTGATATTGATACGCATGTGGTAAGATAAGGTGGGCTTGATACACATGTTTCTAGTAGGAGAACTACTTGAAGCCACGTGGTGTGATAAGGTGGGCTAAAACGCGGGTAGCTATTTCAAAAAAAAAAGATTTTCAAAACTAAATGTGAGGCTCCCACTCTGATATAAAACAAGATTGTAATTGAAATTGTGAAATGTGAATACGAGGCGGTACCTTAGTTTTGATCCTTGTTTTGCAATTCATACTGAAAAGAATTATTGGTTGAACTGTTCTTGTTGTTTTTATGTTTCCTTGTCATACCAATTTTGTCCGTATTTGATTATTTAAGGTTCTCATTAATTGCTTACTTTTTGTTGTCTTTCTCCTTACAATCCTGTCATTAGTTTACATTATTATACTGCCAGTTATCATTCATTTTCTCTATTTCTATTACTTCTCGTTATTATATTTTGTTCTATTTACTATGTCCTAGTAGGTGTCTTGACCTGGCTTCGTCACTACTCTACCGAGGTTAGGCTTGATACTTACTAGGTACCATTGTGGTGTACTCATATTACGCTTCTGCATATCTTTTTTTGCAGATCCAAGTATGTCTGCTCATGTTGGACATTAGTGATTGAGTTATTAGCTACTTTACTAAGACTTCAAGGTATACCTTCTCGGTGTCTGCAGGCTTCGAAGTCACCTTCTGTTTTTAAATTTTGTACTGTTTATTTCTTATCCCAAAACAGTATTGTGTTACGAGACTATTAGTACTTTCTTGAAGAGCTTATGACTCTTTTCCACCAAGTTTTGGGAAAGTGTTGGATATTGTACTGTTGAGTTTTATTATAATAATGTAATAGTTTAACTTGAGGTTTTAGTATTATTTTCGCTATTTTTATATGCATGTAGGCTTACCAAGTCTTAGAGACTAGGTGTTATCACGGCATCCTAAGGTGAGAAATTTGGGTCTTGATAAGTTGGTATCAGAGCTCTAGGTTCATAGGTGTTACGAGTCATAAGCAAGGTTAGTATAGTTTTGTGAATCGGCACCGAGACTTATGTACTTATCTTCAAGATGTTATAGAACCTCTGAAAATTCCACTTTTTTAATTCCTTATCGTGCGAATTTGTTGACTTCGAAGTCTGAATTCTCATATTTCTATTCCCTCATAGATGGTGAGGACATGCATTGCTAGATCCGACAATCAGACACCCGTGCCCCTGCTAGAGCAACGAGAGGCCGGTGTTAGGGTAGAGGTCAAAGAGGGGTACATGGTGCAGCTAGCGCACCTGCTCGAGCAGCGACTGAGGAGACACCAGTAGCTCCAGTTGGAGGACAGGCACCCGAGGCGCCTATTGTCATCCCTGCACTTCAAGAGACCCTAGCATAGTTTTTGAGCATATTTTGCTACACTAGCTCTGGCGGGGTTGATTCCACCTGCACCAGTCACATCTCAGGCTGGGGGAGGAGATCAGACTCCTGCGGCTCATACTCCATCACAACGAATCCATGTTGATCAGGTCCTAGAGGTTATTCTAGCGTAGCTTGTTGTTCTGGTTCAGCCGGAAGTTAGGGCAGTGGCATCTGAGGAGGAGCAGCTTAGACGTGAGATGTTCAAGAAGTATCATCCTCCTACTTACAATGGCCTAGCTATAGAAGATGCACAGGGTTTTGTAGAGAAGTGCCACCGTACTCTCCACAACATGGGTATTGTGGAGACGAGCGGAGTTGCTCTTAGTACATTCTAGCAGTCAGGAGCAACATATAAGTGGTGGTGGGCTTACGGGGAAGGTAACCAAGCCGATGTAGCTTTACTCACATCGACTCAGTTTTCACAGATGTTCTAGAAAGAGTTTTTCCCCACACCCTTCGTGATGTGTAGACATGTGATTTTTGACCCTCCCCGAGATTTTTTATATATTAGCGTAAAATATTTAATTTAGGCATAATATAGATATTTTAAGTAATTTTGACTCTTTTACTTTATTTTAGTGCAAGAAAACAAAAATTATAAAAAATAGGTTCATTAATGTTTTGTAGTCATTTTTAATCTAAAAAAATACACAAAAATAGTATCGTATTTTTATTTTAATATGATATTTGAAAATACAAAAAATAGATTTTTTTAAAGGTTAGTTTTATTTTAGTAGTTATTTGAATAGTAGGATTAATTAATAAATGAGCCCGTATTTTTAATCTCGTTCGCAGCGAGAGAATAGAACTTGGGCTCGAGCAACCCATCTTTAGGCCTAATTTTGGACCTAACCCACAATTTCCAAGCCCATAATTCCTAGGCCCATACCCTTTAACCTAAAACCCTACCAAAACCTAGACTATATAAATAGAAAAACAACGAACAAAAAGAGAGGAACGGACAAAAGGCAAAACGCAAAGCTGCGCATGAAAAAAGAATGGAACAAAGAGATAACGGAGAAGGGGATTGAACGAAAAGAAACGGATGAACAAAAGTTGCGCATGGAGGAAACAAAATAAGAAAGGAACGAAAAAGCAGCAGCTAAAGAAGGCTGAGCACAAACGAGCGACCCCCAGCCCCTTCACGTTTTCTTCTCCAACGAACCTTTCCCCGATCTTCTTCTTCAACCAACAGCCCCCAAAATCGGGAACAACCCAGCTCGCCGGAGAAAACACCAACGACCTCGTCTCTGCCTGAAACTCGTCGAAAAAATGAGCTCCACCTATTTGTCGGATGAACGAGTTCCAAACGCGACAAACAGAACCAAGCGACCTCACACAACTCACCATCGTCGCTGGACCTCCGTTCACCGCGAAGCTGCCATTTCCGGCAAAGCTTCACGTCACAAACTACTTGCCATAGAATTCGGGGAAGCGAGTTCGAACCCAACGGTAAACCTAGCTCCAAAACTCCCTGAACCTAACTCAAATTAGTGCGAAAGTCAGCTCGAAGACGCTACCCAAATCCATGTCGAGTGAATCTGTTCAGTTCCGTCGAGGTGTTCGTTGATACGTTGTCCGAGATTTCGACTGTTTTGAATTTCTGGCGAGATCTTCAGTCCGTCGAGGTTGCTGGTCTGAGGTCCATTCGTGGGTGACCATGTTTTCAATGTGAACAATTCACGGCTATATGCTCTGTTTAACCAGGTTGGTCGCTACTTATTTGAATTCTTTTGAGCGTCGAGTTTGCATTTCCTTACAGTTTCTGTTATGTTGCTTTTAATTCATTTGAATTTGCACTTCTTATAAATTCTATTATGTTGGTTCTGTGCATGACCATTTTTATATACATATATAAAACTTTGAGAAGTACAATCGCCTACTTTTCTTTCCTTGAGTTTTCCTTATTTAAATTATGTTGTCAAGTTGTTACTTGTATTTGAAATTGAATAGTACAGTAGACGTATATTTGGTTTTGGTTTGTGCTCAAAGGAAATCGACTGATTTCAAATAGCCCTTTTGTGGCCTTATCTTTGGAAATCGATTAGTTTCATCAAAATTAGACCCATGGGTACGAAGTTTGAGAGGTTTTACTGTATTTTGTTGATCTTTTGAGGGATAAGTTTTATTCCATTGCTAAATCATACATGGTAGTGCTGAGTGGTTGGTGATAGTGTTAAAGAAAAGCATATTAGTATTTGTGGAATTCGATTGTGTTCGATTGTTATAGTTGAATACAAATCTCTGTTTTAAAGAAATTAAGGCTCGTGTTTACTCGAATTGGTTATAGCTGAACATGATTTTGTCACAGTATGAAAATTGGGTTACTATTTATCAACTGAACTACGTCAAATTAGATTAAAGGGACTCGGGTGTGCATTTCATGTGACCCCGCCATGACTCTGAATAATAATAGAATGAAGCGTGTTGTTGAAATCTGGGGGTGCATTTCATGTGACTCGGTTCTAATTGCAACAAGGTTAAACAGAACGTGTCGTTAATCATGGGTGCATTTCATGTGGTGTGGCTTGTGATATGTTTTAAATGACCTTGAATTAATTCTTTAAATAAGTTAAAAGCGGTTAAAAGGTTAAATTTGCACATAGGTTCAAAATGTTCTAAAATCAGATTNCCACGGGTGCATTTCATGTGGTGTGGCTTGCGATATGTTTTAAATGACCTTGAATTAATTCTTTAAATAAGTTAAAAGCGGTTAAAAGGTTAAATTTGCACATAGGTTCAAAATGTTCTAAAATCAGATTATTAAGCCGAATATAATAGTTGAGCGACCGTGCTAGAACCACGGAACTCGGGAATACCTAACACCTTCTCCTGGGTTAACAGAATTCCTTACTCGGATTTCTGGTTCGCGGACTGTTAAACAAAGTCAGTATTTTCCTCGATTCGGGATTCAATCGGTGACTTGGGACACCATAAATCTCCCAAGTGGCGACTCTAAATCTTTATAATAAATCCCGTTTCGATTGTCCTTTAATTGGAAAAACTCCCTTTACCCCTTTAGACCCTTTCCGGGGGTGTAAGGTAAAAAGGAGGTGTGACAGCTCTGGCGACTCTGCTGGGGATCGAACCTAGAATCTCTGGTTCAGGGTTCAAGAATTCGAGCTTAGAATAATTGTTATAGTTGGCTTTATCCATTATCTGATTTTGTTACATGATTTGGGCCTAATGTGCTAATTGATTGCTTTTACCTCTTTGATATTTCGTGAACTGTATATAAACTGTTGCGAAATCCCCCTTTTCTCTGAGTCTTCTAAATCATGAAGAAGTGTGCAGTTCGTGTGACTTCTTTTCTGTTAGAGTCATATCCCAAATTTAGAACGAGGTTCAGACAAGTTGCAAAGCCGGTGAAGATTACGCTGCCCCCCCTCGGCTCGAGCTGTCTGCTCGGGTAAGCCAGGTCTAGAACAATAAACCCAGGTTTTGAACCTAGTACAACAAGACCTCATGTCGGATCCCTAGAAGGCACGTTTGTTTGCATCATGTGCATTTGACTTTGGGGACTCAACACAGGGGTTGGGTCCGTCTAGGACAGGTACACCCCAAAAAATAAAAGATCATCCTGATGCATCTTACGTGTTACATGTTGCATTTATGTAAGGGTAAAAGGGTCATTAGGCGTACCAATGATAATTGAGGGCGAATGAAAAAAAAGGAAGGAAAAAAAAAAAGAGAAAGGGTGAAGTGTGAGGATAAAGAGAGTAAGGCCCATTTATGTTTTCTATTACATTTTTGTTATCAAAAAAAGAGCTTGAAAATTGAAAAAGATTTTGCACTTTTTATCATTTTTCAAAAATCAAAAAAAAATCAAAAAAAAAAGAAAAGAAAATCCAAAGAGATTTTACATGTTTCATCATTTTTCGAAAAATAAAAGAAGAAGAAGAAAAAGAAAAAGAAAAAATGTGTTTTCTATATGTCAGTTGTTTTTTTATTGTTCNAAGAAAAAATGTGTTTTCTATATGTCAGTTGTTTTTTTTATTGTTCTCGCCCGTATCCAATCTGCCCGAACTACACATACCTGATTCTCGTCTTTCGGGGCGTGATACATAGGCAACCCACATAGGGTCCAGTCTTCCTAGTAAATCTTAGGTTCTCGACTTTGCGGGGTCTTAGCCAAATTTTGCACTTCTAGCCAGTTTTTGGCCAAATAAGCCATTTTGCAAAAATAGCCTCAATCATGTCTTGCATGTGTCTTAGGGAATGTTATTGTCTCACCTAGTGTTGGTTTAAGTTTTCTCATATAGGTGTGGATTTATTTACCGGACTTTGGGCATGATAGACATCCCGTGACCATCCAGTCAGGATCGCTCAGTCGGGAGTTGCTTAAGGAGATTTGTTTTATTTTTTTTATGTCCTGAGGTTCTTCTTCATTTTATGTC